GCGCAAACGAAACGAGGCAACAATGAGTGTGTATTCGAATATTTCTACAAAATGAAAGACATTGCATCACGAGGAAGTATTGCAGACGACACATTTTTCCAATATTTAATTGACGGCATAGATGGAAAAGGTGTGAATAAGACAATTTTGTACGGCGCAACAAATATAAATCAGCTTAAAGAAAAATTAAAGTGCTATAAAACAATTATGGAAAAAGATAATCAAATGGAAAAAGAGAAGTCGAAGCGCAATGAAATCAATATAAAAGAAACCGACAAAAAAGTCAAAGCATGAACAAAGATGATAAGAAAGAAATGAAATGTTATAATTGCGGTGGTAAAGGTAATCGAGTAACTGTCAAAATAAAGATAGAGGTCGAAAGTGTTTCAAATGCAATCAATTCGGGCATATTTCTAAAAATTTTAAAGTTGAAAAGTTTGGTGCAACGTCAGTAAATACGCGTAGATTGCAGCCAAAACCCGATATGGCACACAAAGAAGTCGCATTTGAAAATAAAAAGTGTATCGTGCTTTTTGATACGGGCAGCAAGTTCAACGTTATGCGGGAAGACTTTTATCGCGAGTTTGGCAAGCCGAAATTGGAAAGCTGTACAATCGTTCTTATCGGATTTGACGATTGCGACTCTAATAGGATAAAAACAGTTGGACATTTTAAGCACATTTTTCTAATTGATGATGGCGAATTCTTGTTAGATTTTTATTGGAGAAGAACTGTGTTTACTGGCAGAAATCGTTTTTAATAGAAACGGACTTCAAGTGCGCAATATGTCGAGCGGTGACGATCTAAATATAATGAAAATTTGTGCGGAAATTGACAATGACGTAATTGACATTAATGAAGCAGCAAGTGAATCTGCCAAAAAAGAAGTACGTGAACTAATAGACAATTATGTGCCAAACAAATCAAAAACAACAAATGTAGAGATGCGTATCGTATTAAAAGATGAGTCTCCTATATTTTCGCGTCCGCGCAGAATGGCGTTTACGTAAACGCGTATCGTCGATGAACTGATTGAAGAGTGGCTTAAAAATGACATTATCGAAGAATCTACATCGGAGTTTACAAGTCCAATAGTCCTTGTTAAAAAGCGAGACGGTTCGGCAAGGGTTTGTGTTGATTACAGAAGGATCAATAAGGTAACTGTCAAAGATCATTTTCCTTTGCCGCTTATTGAAGATCAACTAGACAGATTGCAAGAGGCCAAGATATTCAGCACGATTGATCTTAAGAATGCGTTTTTTCATGTGCCGGTTTCTGAATCTCGTCGGAAGTACACGTCGTTTGTAATTAAGCGAGGCCAATATCAATTTTTGAGAGTTCCGTTTGGATTTTCAAATTCACCAGGAGTTTTTCAGCGGCACGTCAATGCGATATTTTGACATCTGTCCAGCAAAGGTATTGCTTTACCCTACGTTGATGACGTGATTATTCCAGCACAGACAGAACAAGAAGCTAGGAAGAATCTAAAGGAAGTTATCGAAACATGCAAAGATTTTGGCCTAGAATTGAACATAAAAAAATGCCACTTTCTGAAGACCCGTATTCAATTTCTTACAGAAATCGCCAGACGACGGACAGCTACACCCGGTCTATTATATGTATATTGGTGACTTTGTTGCCATCAAACGTACACAGTTTGGTAGTGGCCTGAAATTAAAAGCAAAGTTTTTGGGACCCTACCAAGTTGTTGGAATCAAACATAACAATGCGTATGATGTTCAGAAAGCCGGAAACTGCGATGGCCTAAAGAATACCTCATCGTGCGCGGAGTACATGAAGCCATGGTCCATTGGCAACGACAACGACGACGCATTCGGGTCGAATGCTTAATCAGAATGGCCGAATGTGGGTTGGTGTACCACACAAAATACCAAATGAAGATAAGATCCCTAGACGACGAGCAACGATGATCCCATCACTAAAAAGAACGACGAACAACGATTATGCCATCACGAAGAAGACGACGAGTAAAGAAGAGAGAAGCAGAGAAATAAAACGAGGACAGTACCGAAAAGACGTAAAAAACGACGACGGCCGCAGAAAAGAAGAATTAAACGACGCAAAATAAAGAATACTTTTATCCTAAATTTATCAAAACCTAAAGTAAATAAAAACCCCACATATATTACCTTAGTTTAGGACTTTCCCTTGTTTTGTAATATTGGTGTTGCTCGGTGTAGATGCCACAAGAAGGGGGTAGTCGACAGTATCATACGCTATCACGCGTAAACAAAACAGTGGACCAGATAGGAGAAGTGTCAGGGGCGATGTTTGATCAATATCGGGAGGAACTTGGAGCTGTGGGTGGGTTGCCGAGAACACCGGTCCAGGCCAGGTCAGCAGAATGGCCAATGTCCGATCCTACACCCACGCTTGCTTCCGAACTGGCATCAGCAGTCAACGTATCGTTGGCAGCGGTCAGTGAACACTGACTCGATTAGTCGGGTGTTGCAGGAGGAGTTGCGTAAGGGATTTATCGAGATGATGCACCAACTCAACGAGGTACTTCAGCCGGTTAGACAGCTGCAGCAGCAGAAGGAACCGCAGCGGGAGGAGGTTCACAACGAGCAGGAGTATCGAGGAGCAATCCCGAAAAGGAAGCCGTCTAGCACGACTGATGCGCCGATTCCGCCACCAAAACCATTTTTGGCTCGCTCGGGGCGAGGTGGTATTGGTCCGGAACCGTCTTCAGGAGTAGGACCGACCGCATCCAGTGAGCAGCATCAATGGGGTGGGCATCAAGCGCGAAATTGGCGAAACCCGATAGCACTCAGATACTCGGGTCAGGGTCGTGGCGAGAGTAGGAGAGCTGGTGGGATTCCTCGAGAAGATCCGCATCCAAGTCCCCCGGGTTATAGACCTTGGCCACGGTGGGGCCGAGTCGAAAAATGGGACGTGACGTTCGACTGAGACAGCAACAAAATGACAGTCGAGGATATTGTGTTCCGCATTAAATTCCTACAATGTCTTCTAGTGTCGCTGCCCGTGGGATGAAGTTCTAAAAGGATTTCATCACCTGGTTACAGGAAACGTGCGGGAATGGTACTGACAGTACATACGTGATCATGGCGGTGGTGTTTGGCAGGAACTAAGGGGCGACTTAATTACACGTTTCCGAGGCACGGCGTCCGAGTTCGACCGCATGAGAGAACTGCGAGAAAGAATGCAGCGGTCAAACGAGAGTGTGGAAGACTTTTTCCATGTCATGAGAAAGCTCGCGTCGAGGTTGGAGAGGCCACCACCTGAAAATGAGATGGTAAAAATCGTCAAAAAGGCACTCACAGATGAGATACCGAGTTTCGTCTACGGCTTATTCCTCAGACCAACTGCGGGATGAGTGCGTGGAAATAGAGGCACATCTGAAGAGGAAGGCTCGATCTTCGTGGCGAGGAGCACCCAAAGCCACAAACTATAGTCGCGGGGCGAATGCGAACGTCAGCGAGGAAGCGCAGGATCGGTCGATTATCGATGAAGAGGCAGAGGTCATTGAGGAAGCGCAAGTGACACACCGTGTTCCACAGAAGTTGATTTGCTGGAACTGCGGGCAGACCGATCATGGCTTTAGGGACTGTATGGCATCGGAGAAGCGAATTTTCTGCTACCGGTGTGGAAAGCCCGATCTATATTGTCCAACCTGTCCGAATTGCGCGGGAAACGTGAAGAGGGGTGCGATCCAAGCAGGCGAATCACGCTCACAGAAGGGGCCTGCGCAGAGAAAGTAGAAGAAAATAAAAATGAATTAGATAGACGTAATTTGCATGCTAGGTTAAGGAACTTATCATATGAAGAGCGCTTAAGAAATTATTTAGAAACCCGAAATAGAATATTTTCTGAACTACGAGTGGATGGTATGCGAGCACTGTCGGTGCGGGTGAGAAAGGCGAGATCCCGGTTTAAGCAAAGGCGAGCTATGAGGAGGCAGGTGATTGCTTCAGTAAAGCGTTGTTGCAAGAAAGACCCGAGAGTTTTCGCAGAAATCTCTATAATGGGCGAGTCCGTGCGAGGCCTGTTGGATTCAGGCGCTACACACAGCATGCTAGGGTGTAATGGTCAGGAATTCCTGGAGAAGCTGGGCGTGGAGGCTCGTCGATATTCTTCTATAGTGAAGGTAGCGAATGGGGAAGATCGCGCAATCGTTGGCCGAGTAGAATTACCGGTGAAATACAAGGGAGATGTAAAAAGATTAACGTTTTTCGTATGCCCTTTCTTGGAACAGGAAATTTACTTGGGGGTAGACTTTTGGCGGGTATTCTCATTGGCTCCTGAGGTGATGGGAGAAGGTCCAGTAGGGGCATCTCACAGATTAGTGGAAGAAGTGCTGGCTGATCAAGCCGCTCACTATGTAGAAGGCCCGGAGAAGGAGATAGTGCAGGAAGAATGGGAGTTGTCAGAAGAGCAAAAGGCAGCCTTGGATCAGGTGAAGGCAGAGTTTCTGACTTTCAAAGCCGTAGGCCTGGGGAGGACGTCGAGAGAGACTCACAAAATTCAGTTGGTGGAGAATGCCGAGCCTGTGAAGGATCGACATTACCCGCTGTCGTCAGCGATGCAGGAAGTGGTGTGTGGTGAAGTGGATAAAATGTTGGCTTTGGGAGTCATCGAGTAAAGTGATAGTCCGTGGAGCAACCTCGTTTCTGTCTCGATGCCCGAAAGCTCAACAAAGTAACCATCAAGGACGCTTACCCACTTCCTAGCATCGAGGGGATTTTGTCGCGTCTCGATCAGACGATATATATCTCCAGCGTCGACTTAAAATTCGCTTTTTGGCAAATCGAGCTGGACGAGCAGAGTCGACCATATACGGCGTTCACGGTGCCGGGACGGCCTCTGTACCAGTTCCGTATGATGCCCTTTGGCCTCTGCAACGCCGCACAACGCCTATGTAGACTGGTCGATAAGGTGATTCCGGTGGAGATGCGTTCAAACGTCTATGCGTATCTGGACGACTTGCTGATTATAGCTGAGGACTTCCAAACGCACGCGAAGATTCTGCGACAGGTTGCCGAGCGTCTACGAGAAGCAAATTTAACGATAGGGCTGAGCAAATCTCATTTTTGCTATAAAAACATTAAATACCTGGGATTTATAGTGGGAGGAGGAGCGCTGAAGATGGATCCGGATCGTGTGTCGGCCATTTTGCGCATTGCCGAGCCGCGATCTGTTCGAGAATTGCGTAGTTTCCTGGGAACTGCGGGCTGGTACCGGCGCTTTATGAAAAACTATGCTGAGATGGCCGGTCCGCTCACAGACGCCCTGAAAAAGTCGGGAAATGGAAAGTTTAAATTGACGGAGGAGGCAAAACGAGCCATGGGGGAGCTAAAAGCTGCACTCACCTCGGCACCAGTCCTGGTACACGCGGATTTCAAGCGGCACTTCTACATACAGTGCGACGCCTCACATTATGGGGTAAGAGCCGTACTCTTCCAACGGGATGACGAGCAGAACGAGAAGCCCATAGCGTTTTTCTCTGCCAAACTGAATTGCCACCAAAAAAACTACTCGGTGACAGAGAAGGAGTGTCTGGCAGCCCTCATGGCGATCCTAAAGTTCCGTCCGTACGTAGAGCTTATGCCGTTTACAGTCATAACTGACCACGCCAGTCTCAAATGGCTTATGACCATGAAGAACCTGGATGGTCGCTTAGCTCGTTGGTCCCTTCAACTGCAGGCCTCCGATTTCGGCATAGAACACCGGTAAGGAGCGGACAATGTAGTGGCAGATACATTGTCGCGCAGTATTGAAGAGCTGGAAGTGGATCCGAGTAGTATCCTGGGTTTTGAAACGGTGGAGTTTGAATCTGGAGAATATCAGGAGTTAAAGAAGGAAATAACAGAGAACCAAGACCGCTTACCTGATCTCCAGATTGTTGACGGCATGATATTCAAGCGCATGCGCTTTGAACGATTGGATGATCAACTGGAGGGTGCCGTCTGGAAATTGTGGGTTCCGAGTTCGCTGACGGCCGCGTTGATAGACAAAGCACATTCGGAAGAGAAGACAGCGCACGGAGGAATCGCGAAAACCTTGGCGTAGGCAGTTTTACTGGCCGAACATGGCGATAGAGGTGCGGGATTATATCCGACGGTGCACCGTGTGCAAGGAGTCGAAAGCGCCGAATTATCGGATGCAGGTCGGGATGGGGCAAGAAGTGGTCACTGAGCGCCCGTTCCAAAAACTTTATATTGATTTTTTGGGCAAATATCCGCGGTCAAAGAACGGTCATGCGTGGATATTTATTGTAGTTGACCAGTTCTCTAAGCTCACATTCCTAAAGACCATGACCAAGGCCACAGCAAAGGAAGTTGTAAGATTCCTCGTTCACGAGGTGTTTTACAAGTTTGGAGTGCCGGAGATGATTCACTCGGACAATGGGGCTCAGTTCGTCTCGAAAACTTTTAAGAAGATGACCGATGCATTCGGAGTCACTCATATGAGAACGCCAATGTATTCTCCGCAGAGTAACGCAGCCGAACGCGTGGATCGCACAGTACTCAGCGCGATTCGGACGTATCTGGAAGACGATCACCGGGACTGGGATGTGCATCTGCCAGAGATAGAACTGGCTATTAGGAAATCGGTTCACGAGGCGACAGGCGTAACACCATTCTTTGCAGTCTTCGGGCAGCAAATGTATTTGCATGGGTCATGCTACAAGCTGGCAAAGCGACTGCGGTCAATCGGCGAGCATGACATATCGCTGCTGGAGGGTCAGGACAAGCGACAACTCATCCAAGAGAGGATTCGCGCTAGTTTACATCAGGCATACGAGCGTATTAGGGTAAGGTACAACCAGCGAGCTCGGGTGTTTTACGCGAGGCCAGGAAAAGAGGTATTCCGCCGACTTCGGAAAAGGCTTTAATGCCAAGTTCGCGCGCAAATTCATCCGATGGGTAGTGAAGCCAGTAGGAGAGAACGAGTATACTCTGGAGGACCTTAACGGCCGTCCCATAGGAGTGTACCACGCCAAAGACCTGAGAATGTAGTGAGGTGTGGGTGTGGCCTACGTTGGGCACGGCAGAAGAATTCAGGGCACGCCGGCGTATGCTCAATAGTGTTCCGGAATCCGGTGGGCATGCCCACGCGTATGTTGTCCCTCCTGGGACTGACGACATACTCGTGGTGGAGTTCCAGTCCCACCTGAACGATAGGTGGCCAGGGCTGAGGGCGACGCGCCATCTAGCGGAAGTCTAGGGAGGCTCGATGGTGTATGGGGACATCGGGGGGAGCTGGAGCCGTTACTGGGGATATAAGGAATAGAATAGGATTAGTTATATGTATTAGTAAGGGAAAAAGGGATAAATAGGAGTGAAAATATTAGAAAACGTGGATTGGATTATGGAAATCGTGGAGCGTGGACGGAAGAGTAACGTCGAAATTTGAAATGTTGTGCTTAAAACAGAAAGTTTGAAGGGAGTACAGAAAAAAGCGGGCGAGAAAATAGGTTGTAATGCAGGAAATTTTACTCACAGCCGGCAAGGAATACAGCCACCAGAACCGGGCCAGAAGGTTTCCTGAAGAGAAACACTGGAGTTCGAGAAAGTCGACGGCAGAGAAGAAGACTGTCCAACGTGAACCTGAGTGAGTTCGTTCCAGTTGCGCGTGTGTGAGCCAAGAAGCGCGGGACGTGTGAAGGGGGAGGGTGAAAGAGGACGATTTAGCTGCCAGGGCGATTCTAGCCACATCGCACGATCGTTGCATCGCCTTCCAGTGCGTGCCACACGTTTGGTCTCATTCACCACGTAAAAACCCCGAAACCCTATTTACACACACACACGCGCACACGTATACACGGACCTATATAAATTTAGGGCTGACCGGCCACGGCCAGCGATCGCCCACGTCGTTTGAACTTAAAAGAAAAAAAACATAATCCGCACTCCAAACACCGTTCCACATTATATGTTGTCCCGTGTGTTGTCCTTTATATAGTATTTAGTATTAGCTTAAACCGTTTAACGTAACATCTTGGCCATTGAAAAAAAAAATATGTAAAAACACCAACACCTTTCACGAACCTAAATCTGCGAGCAGCTGTTCAGTTCCAGAAGATTAACCCTTAGTGGGTGACACGGGGGTCCCGTCAGTCCACCGTATTTGGTCGAGCGATTTTTGGAAAAATATTGTTTATTGTTTATGTCCCGGGGACCCTTAACAAGAGCTCTTGGTAGATTAAGTCTCCGTAGGGGCCCGAGTTAAATTAACTCCCGTAAAGCTGGATCCACTCACCTACATATATTCCATTACGTATGGGTGAGGGTATCCCGGTTGGTTGAACGAAATTTCAGCAGTTATTTCCGTGTTTGCCTTTGTGTCGAACGTTTTGGTGTTTCTTTTTGGTTAGTGATAATTTTGAGTAGATCTATTTATTAATGAGAAAAATGAAATTGTCAATTTATAATTATTAAAGCTTGGATATATATTGAAGCATGATGCAGTAAATTAAAATAGAGGGAGGATGCGTGGCGTAAGCCATGGATTAGGCCAGCCGTTACCGTTCCAGCAGAGGGTGGCCAAAATGTACGTTGTGTTTGGTCACAGGTAGGGCGAGCGCGCGAATATATATAATCAGACTTACAGAAGTACACACAGATGCATCAATTGATGGTTTTCGTGCAGTTCTATTACAGAAATCGCCAGACGACGGAAAGCTACACCCGGTCTATTATATGTCCAAAAAGACTACTGATGCACAGCGGAAATATAGCAGCTACGAATTAGAGATTTTGGCAGTAATAGAAGCGTTAACCAAGTTTAGAGTATATCTCTTAGGCATTCATTTTAAACTGATAACAGACTGCAATGCTTTTACAAAGACGCTGGAGAAACAAAACTTATGCACTAGGGTGGCGCGATGGATTTTGTTTCTACAGGAGTACGATTATGCTGTGGAACATCGGTCAGGAACTAGAATGAAGCATGTCGATGCTCTCAGCCGCTACCCAATCATGAGGATAACTGAAGACAGCATAATCATCGCTTTAAAAGAGGCACAGTCGAAAGATGAAAAGATTAAGGCTATTAAAGAAATTCTGAACGACGAACAGAAGACTTACGACGATTATTTCCTTAAGTCTGGTATGCTACATAGAGTTGTGCAGGACGAAGAACTTATGGTGGTACCCAATGACTTGCAGAAACAAATTATTAGCCGTACACATGATAGAGGTCATTTTGCAGCAAAGAAGACGAAGGATTTGATTTGCAGAGAATTCTACATACCAAATGTCGAAGAGAAGATCAAGAAATATATTGAGTGCTGTATTCCATGTATTTTGATGAACCGAAAGAGAGGCAAGCAGGAAGGGCTACTACACCCACTATAGAAAGAAGACGTTCCATTACACACTTATCATATTGACTTTTTGGGACCTCTGGATTCGACGCACAAGGACTACAAACATATCTTTGCAGTTATAGACTCATTCACGAAGTATTGCTGGCTGTATCCTACAAAATCGACTACCGCAAATGAGGTCATTGCGAAGCTTAGCAGTCAAAGTATTACATTTGGGTATCCATCGTTTATAATCTCGGATAAGGGCTCCGCTTTTACCTCGCAAGACTTTGTTTAGTATTGTGCCGACGAAGGGATTAAGCTGGTGAAGACGACTACAGGACTACCGAGAGTAAATGGTCAAGTTGAGAGACTGAATGCAATCATAATTTCAGTGCTCTCAAAACTGAGTATCGACGACCCCACGAAATGTTACAGGCATGTCAGCAAAGTTCAACAAGCTGTTAATTCAACATTTACAAGAAGCATTGATACGATACCCTTTGAAATGCTAGTTGGAGTTAAGATGCGGACAAAAGAAGACCTCCAGATACGACAATTGATCAACAAAGAAGCAGCAACAATATTTAACGATGAACGCAGCGATCTAAGAGCAAAGGCAAAGGCTCAAATTGTGAAGCTTCAGAACGAAAATAAGAAGACGTATAATCTTCGACGAAATCTGCAAGACGATATAATATTGGTGACTTGGTTGCCATCAAACGTACACAGTTTGGTAGTGGCCTGAAATTAAAAGCAAAGTTTTTGGGACCCTACCAAGTTGTTGGAATCAAACATAACAATGCGTATGATGTTCAGAAAGCCGGAAACTGCGATGGCCTAAAGAATACCTCATCGTGCGCGGAGTACATGAAGCCATGGTCCATTGGCAACGACAACGACGACGCATTCGGGTCGAATGCTTAATCAGAATGGCCGAATGTGGGTTGGTGTACCACACAAAATACCAAATGAAGATAAGATCCCTAGACGACGAGCAACGATGATCCCATCACTAAAAAGAACGACGAACAACGATTATGCCATCACGAAGAAGACGACGAGTAAAGAAGAGAGAAGCAGAGAAATAAAACGAGGACAGTACCGAAAAGACGTAAAAAACGACGACGGCCGCAGAAAAGAAGAATTAAACGACGCAAAATAAAGAATACTTTTATCCTAAATTTATCAAAACCTAAAGTAAATAAAAACCCCACATATATTACCTTAGTTTAGGACTTTCCCTTGTTTTGTAATATTGGTGTTGCTCGGTGTAGATGCCACAAGAAGGGGGTAGTCGACAGTATCATACGCTATCACGCGTAAACAAAACAGTGGACCAGATAGGAGAAGTGTCAGGGGCGATGTTTGATCAATATCGGGAGGAACTTGGAGCTGTGGGTGGGTTGCCGAGAACACCGGTCCAGGCCAGGTCAGCAGAATGGCCAATGTCCGATCCTACACCCACGCTTGCTTCCGAACTGGCATCAGCAGTCAACGTATCGTTGGCAGCGGTCAGTGAACACTGACTCGATTAGTCGGGTGTTGCAGGAGGAGTTGCGTAAGGGATTTATCGAGATGATGCACCAACTCAACGAGGTACTTCAGCCGGTTAGACAGCTGCAGCAGCAGAAGGAACCGCAGCGGGAGGAGGTTCACAACGAGCAGGAGTATCGAGGAGCCATCCCGAAAAGGAAGCCGTCTAGCACGACTGATGCGCCGATTCCGCCACCAAAACCATTTTTGGCTCGCTCGGGGCGAGGTGGTATTGGTCCGGAACCGTCTTCAGGAGTAGGACCGACCGCATCCAGTGAGCAGCATCAACGGGGTGGGCATCAAGCGCGAAATTGGCGAAACCCGATAGCACTCAGATACTCGGGTCAGGGTCGTGGCGAGAGTAGGAGAGCTGGTGGGATTCCTCGAGAAGATCCGCATCCAAGTCCCCCGGGTTATAGACCTTGGCCACGGTGGGGCCGAGTCGAAAAATGGGACGTGACGTTCGACGGAGACAGCAACAAAATGACAGTCGAGGATATTGTGTTCCGCATTAAATTCCTACAATGTCTTCTAATGTCGCTGCCCGTGGGATGAAGTTCTAAAAGGATTTCATCACCTGGTTACAGGAAACGTGCGGGAATGGTACTGACAGTACATACGTGATCATGGCGGTGGTGTTTGGCAGGAACTAAGGGGCGACTTAATTACACGTTTCCGAGGCACGGCGTCCGAGTTCGACCGCATGAGAGAACTGCGAGAAAGAATGCAGCGGTCAAACGAGAGTGTGGAAGACTTTTTCCATGTCATGAGAAAGCTCGCGTCGAGGTTGGAGAGGCCACCACCTGAAAATGAGATGGTAAAAATCGTCAAAAAGGCACTCACAGATGAGATACCGAGTTTCGTCTACGGCTTATTCCTCAGACCAACTGCGGGATGAGTGCGTGGAAATAGAGGCACATCTGAAGAGGAAGGCTCGATCTTCGTGGCGAGGAGCACCCAAAGCCACAAACTATAGTCGCGGGGCGAATGCGAACGTCAGCGAGGAAGCGCAGGATCGGTCGATTATCGATGAAGAGGCAGAGGTCATTGAGGAAGCGCAAGTGACACACCGTGTTCCACAGAAGTTGATTTGCTGGAACTGCGGGCAGACCGATCATGGCTTTAGGGACTGTATGGCATCGGAGAAGCGAATTTTCTGCTACCGGTGTGGAAAGCCCGATCTATATTGTCCAACCTGTCCGAATTGCGCGGGAAACGTGAAGAGGGGTGCGATCCAAGCAGGCGAATCACGCTCACAGAAGGGGCCTGCGCAGAGAAAGTAGAAGAAAATAAAAATGAATTAGATAGACGTAATTTGCATGCTAGGTTAAGGAACTTATCATATGAAGAGCGCTTAAGAAATTATTTAGAAACCCGAAATAGAATATTTTCTGAACTACGAGTGGATGGTATGCGAGCACTGTCGGTGCGGGTGAGAAAGGCGAGATCCCGGTTTAAGCAAAGGCGAGCTATGAGGAGGCAGGTGATTGCTTCAGTAAAGCGTTGTTGCAAGAAAGACCCGAGAGTTTTCGCAGAAATCTCTATAATGGGCGAGTCCGTGCGAGGCCTGTTGGATTCAGGCGCTACACACAGCATGCTAGGGTGTAATGGTCAGGAATTCCTGGAGAAGCTGGGCGTGGAGGCTCGTCGATATTCTTCTATAGTGAAGGTAGCGAATGGGGAAGATCGCGCAATCGTTGGCCGAGTAGAATTACCGGTGAAATACAAGGGAGATGTAAAAAGATTAACGTTTTTCGTATGCCCTTTCTTGGAACAGGAAATTTACTTGGTGATGGGAGAAGGTCCAGTAGGGGCATCTCACAGATTAGTGGAAGAAGTGCTGGCTGATCAAGCCGCTCACTATGTAGAAGGCCCGGAGAAGGAGATAGTGCAGGAA